GAAGGCAAAATTGTTGGCTGTTAGGTTTGCTGCTCGACGTAACGATGCATTGCTAAGTTGGAATCGGTTGACTATTTTGTCTTTGTAGTTGTTATGTGAACTATTGTTTTTCCATATTGGTTAATTAACCCATTTCGGACCACATTTCGGCCAGTTTTGAATATTTTTTAATATTCAAAGAATATTTTAAATAAATATCAAACTTTTCTCATTTACTTAAACTTTGTTTTATTTTACTATTAACTATGAAAATTTCACCGTTAAATTTGAAGTCTGAAATTGCCTAGTACTTAAAGGGTTAATGCAAGTTGGCAACAATTTGTGCTATGCGTATGGAACGTTGCTTTCATGTGAGAAGTTTGATTGAGTTCTGCCACGACACGGAAAGGAAAGGAAAGTGTTTGGGAAGCGGTTGTCATGGTCGCTTCACGCCGGTCGTCGGTCGTCATAATTACGTTGAAAACAATAATTGTTGAATGCTAGATCGATATTTGACGGAAGCTTTCCCCTTTTTGGTCGGTTTGCAGGAGCGAATGCATTTACTTTTGCTTCGAAACATCCTGAATCGTGAATCGTGCAAAATATTTATATATCATATAATTTAATCTGTAAAACTGAATAATTTATGAAATATTATTACTTTCAGATTTAAAATTTACTAAATTGACTTTATTGACCGCTTTTAGAACTTAAAACTTTTTTAACATTGAAAATGTTTACATTGAGGTTTTCAATGGAAATTTTCAAGCCTAATAGCTTTTTTATTCGCCAGTTATTATTTTTTTATTTTTCACTGTGTAATGTTAATATTGATCTTATTTACTAGTACAAATAAGAAGCAATAAATTTGCAACAATAACAATGTTGTTTTGTGTTTTACAGAAGTATGTAGAAATTTTATTTGTATAAAAAAAATATTTATGTAAGTAGATAGTAAGAAATAAAAAAGTATCTCATATAAATGAACTATTGAAAATTTAAAAGTGAAGGGTTGGTATATTAACACAAAAGTAATTTTACTTAGTTATGCAAACATTTTCAATATCTGAGTTAAGTTCTTTCTGAATTGAAGTTAAATATTATTTAATACTTTTTTAATTGTGACATATTTTAAAATTATATCACAATATAGGAAGATATAAATTCCAGCATTCCTCTATATTACAAAAGATAACGAGAACCATTTAGTAACTTGAAATTATAAAAGAAACATAGTACGGTTCTAATTTGAGAACTAATTAGCAAAGAAAAACATTTCTACACATCATTAAATAAATTGATTTAGTCAGACAAATCAAATCAAATTTGTGAAAAGCTAAAATCAATCAAAAATAATAAATTAATTGGGTGTAAAATATGACACTTCATATAAACCAAATCAAATTTGTTAATAACAAAAATCATTAAATTAAAAATAATTAATTAATTAGCAGTAAAAGATATATAATACATCAAATACTTTGCTATTCTTTTAAATTCTCAATCTATAAATTAAATAAAAAACAATAAATTTACTCTTCAATAAACTCTTGATATTCATTGACATTAATTCTAGCCACATTTCGAAATATACTCAGCAGTTTATAGTGGTATCGATGCTAAAAGAATCACAATGGCATCGATGTTGCTTTTGTTATGATGCTTTAGTCGGTTTTAAGGAATCAATGGGCGAAATCCGTTGCATATCTATAGTAAAAGTAAAACTAGAGAATGCAACAGAAAGAAAAGAATGAAATTACCTATCCGTACATATTGCAAATATAACTCTCATCTAAGGTATCTATGAACCTCGTTTAGCGGTTGTTAAAAAATCTAAGACTAATGTTTTTCGTGATAGATAGTGTATGCCAACAAATAAACCTGGATTACCTGGGGCGTTCAAAATCAACGAGAAACTCACAAAAGGCTAATGCATACTCCAGAAGTAACTATATGTATGATCTAGAATTTGCTTTGGAGTTTTAATAGGCCAACACTTTTTGAATATTACAAAGATTTGCAACATTTCGTCAATTCTAATTGCGACATTCACATAAGAAACACATTTTTTGGCATGAAATTGAAGAAATGAATATGGAAAATTTGTAGTTTCAATAGGATGGTACCAGAAGTCACATAATATATACTAGGTATATCTCTGGATTTACCTAGTTAGATTTGCTGAATTTGCTAGTTATTCTCTGTGACTGCAGATAGTTGGTTAATGGACGATGAGAGTATTCTTATCTTTGATATATTGTCTCAATCGGAAAATGAGACGATTTAAGATATTAGTGTGGTCTAAAACATATACTTTATCTATTATACTATATCATACTATTATATCATACTACTTTATCATATTTATCTTTATCTATTGCGTTGAGAGTTGATAGCAGAACGATACCAGATATCGTCTCTATTGATGATATTAACATTAACAGTTGCAGGGATTTAGGGTTAGGTGAAAACTATTTAATTGATTTCTTATTATTTTATTATGCTTCTATGCTTCTATGAGAAGATTTCGTTATATATAAATTACAATATTTCTATGGATATAAAATAAATTCGATACGTGAAATTGAATACTTAAGAAATTAGTAATTGGTCGCTAATAATCAATAATCGTTTTTATCGTAATAATGAGTTCGACAAGCAAATGATTTGAGTACACATAAAGCACTTCTACGGCAGAGATGAGCTACGGGTGCTGAGGCAGGTTTGTTTTCCATTTTCACTGGTCTTATGTGCTCGGTGCACAACAGCAACACGTCATGCCGTATTCTAATAAGATTTTCGCACGTGACGTTTGAGGAAGAGAAACTAACATTTTCCGAAAAGCCGGAAAAATGCTAGAAAAATCAATATTTTTCAACAAAAATACATAAAATTATATTGTGCACATCACAACAGAAGAGACATTAAATACTAAATGCTAAAAGGAAAAAAAACACGACCAAAATGTTGTTGCGGAATATTTTTTATGGCCAAAAATAGGAAAAACGAGGCAGAACAAATAGCAGCGAAATGTGGAAATGGCTAGGAAAAGATAAAACCGCTGAGAATCGATTCGCCATAGAGGGATTTCCATGTAATAATTAAAAATATTTTTAAGCTAATTAGAATGGTTTTTGCTTGTGTAATGGAAGAAATGTGGGAAAGGTAAGGAACTTGTTACGTCGGCATTCGTTGATAAGAACTATTTAGAATATGAATATGAATAAACACTTTTATTGTCATTTATGTATTAAATTTTTTTTTCCATTTCTTATACTTACAAGTTGCCAAAAGAAAATAAATAAAAACGTTTTTCCTCTACTCGTTGCGGAGAGAGCAAATCATGCAAATTGTATCCAACAAATTTTTGAATCTTTTTTGAATCTTTTAATGCGTACGAGTTTTGTTGGTTTTTTTTAAATTTTTGCAAACATGAAATGAGTCAGAGTTCATTTTCCACAAAAGGGTTAAATTATTGCTTCAAAAATTACAAAACTTTTTATGCTCACTGCTTAACACGACTCTACTAACGTGTCTCATTGCATTTTCACTTTATTTTCTTTAAAAATGAATTTATTTTGATAAACTAAAAAAAAATTAATTTTAATTTTTTACTCAAAGAAATCACGAACTTTTTACTGTAGAACCGTTAAACTCTTTATTGTTAAGCGCGAAACTGCTTGTATCAAAATTCTGGTTAAAGTGAAAATTTTCCGTTCTTCAATTGCAAATAAATACTCACGATTTGCAATGTGTGCGTAGATGAGACAAAAAAATTGTTTTCATTTGCAACATATGACAAACCAACGACGAAGTGCTGCCAGCTCGGAGTTTTGTTTATGAAATTTAAAAAAATTGCAAAATTAAAAATGCAAGTTTTTGCACGTTGTTATGTTTTGCTTTAACATTAAACAGAAAAATAATTTAAAACCAAAACTTTAATAATTTATTATATTAAAAATAATAATAATAAATGCAACATGCAAATTTATATATATTAAGATCGTGTGCGAGTTCACGTAAAATGATGGTAATTTCAGGGAAATAGTAAATTATGTCGGTATGGCAGTGAATGTTGGTATTTACCAGAACTTTGAGTAGGTTAAATAAGATAAAAATTAGGTATTACCATTGTGAAAATTTCATAAGACATTTAACGAATAAATAAATAATTTTGATAACTTTTAACAAAAAATAATAAATAAGTGCATTAATTAAATAAATAAATAAATATTTACATAAGTGCAGTGCAAAAAATTCGTAGGCAATTTCAATTTACTTTACCTCAATTTACTCGAACTCGCACACAACCGAAAGTCGTTTTGTTTTTTTAGAATTATAACTTTTATTTGGAACGTTTATTTTAGTATATTTTCTATACGGCAAATTTGGTTTTGCCTTTATCAGGAGCATTTCTATAGTATTAGGATTACGTAGTATTACTATATTTACTTTAAAAACTATTGACGTGACGACTCAAAAATAAAAATTAAGTTATATAAAAATTCAGCTTTTAACTATTATATCTATTCATTCGCACTGATTTTATATATCTTAGTTACACATATACATTGTGATCAGTTGCAGATCTAAAAACATTTTATGTATTAATTTCAATAAAGTTAAAATTTCCGATTCACAAAAACATATTCACTTACTTTCTCACAATTTTTAGAGTGAAATTTTTCTATTCAATTTATATATATTATGAATGCATATTTTCTGTTACCTGTATTTCGAGTGTCTTTCAAAGATTTGTGTACGTGCCCGACAACAGCTTCTCCAAACATTGTGGTTTCTATGAACGCATAAAAAACAAATGGATTGTTACTTGTGATGTATAAGTTTTTTAAATTTATAATTCTTGAATTTAAAAATTTTAGATAATTGTGAAATGTGAAAAAAATATCCATATCCAGAATAAATATAATTTACTACATACATATATATATTTTTAAAGATTAAAGTTTTAGCAAAAACAATTAAATAGAATTGTATATGAAAACTTAATCAATATTCTTCTCTAAGACTTCTCTAATACGACTTTGTATTCTATCAAATTAAAAAAATGCTATGTATTATATAATTACAAGATTATAGTTAGTGCTAGATTCGATGTTTTGACAAAGTGTGATTTTTTGCACGTTGAAAGGTTAATGCATTTTTTGTTTTAATTCTTGCATTGCCATGCCAAGTAACGGCACTGCCGTAAACATCAACCTCTTCTTGAGGCCTGTGTTGTGCATGTTAGCTGCAACGTTTCAAAACTTCTTCCCTTGATTTTTCAATGAAAGATGCGTGGAACAATTTTGCGCAACTTTATTCTAATGATCTTGAAAATGAAAATAATATTTCAAACATTTTTTATTTACAAAAAATAATAAATAAACCAAATAATTTAATAAAAATTCATAATGTTATTATGTAGGGCAGCAATTTGTACAAATATCCATCCTTACAAAATGACAATTAAAACCCCCGTGTGAGTCCCGTATTGGTGTACAAGTGTAAATAATTACATGAAACTCAATTTTTACAAAATATATCATTTACAACACTGTTGTTCTGTTCTTATGAGCTCAGTGCTTTTTAAACTGCTCATTCAAACTGTGCTACTGTCATGCCGCTAACTATTATAAATCAGCTGTTCAGAAGAAGTGGCACCATAATTATTTAACTAATTTTTGTGCTTGATGCCAACTTTAAAAATGAAACTTAATATTGATATCGATTTCGTAAGTACGTTAATTTAATTTTTCACAAGTGTATTATTTTCTGTTTGCATTTCAGCCAAAAGAGGATGTGCCGTATGAGGAAGAGATCCTGCATAATGCACTGGTTGAAACATATTGACCACAAAGCTAAAGCACTCAACAACGGTGTTAATATAATGTATAAACGAGTATTTAAGAAATTGTCTGGCTGGTACAAAACATGTACGTGGACGTCCATTGAACGACCCTATGTATGAAGAAGTCAATAATACGTTTGAACGTGCGTTGGTTTTTATGCATAAAATGCCACGCATTTGGATGGATTATGGTACTTTTATGACTTTGCAATGTCGAATAACACGTACCAGATACGTTTTTGACCGCGCCTTACGTGCTCTACCCATAACGCAGCATCATCGTATCTGGCCACTGTATCTGAAGTTTGTACGTCAGTTTGACATACCCGAAACTGCGGTGCGAGTTTATAGGCGATACTTAAAATTATGCCCAGATGAAGCTGAGGAATATATTGAATATTTATCTGAAGTGGGTAAATTAGATGATGCGGCTCAGCAGTTAGCTACGATTGTAGATAACGAAAATTTTGCTTCAAAATTTGGTAAATCAAATCATCAACTTTGGAATGAGTTGTGTGAACTTATATCTAAGAATCCGCATAAAGTGCATTCACTGAATGTGGATGCAATTATTAGAGGTGGCTTGAGAAGGTATATAATGAGCGATACAAATGTTTTATATATATAATGGTTGTTCCCTTTAAGGTACAGACCCAATTGATATTGGGACACTTATGGCACTCTTTGGCGGATTACCACGTACATTCTAATTTTAATCTTCCATATCTGGAAGTATTCCACCAAGAGGTCTATATTTTCCTGTAAGGTGTTGCTTACGCTGTATGTCAAAAGTTAACTTACCCCACAATAAAATTACAATCGAAGTATATCATTTTTATTGATTTTTATTCATATATTCCAAAACATAAATCAGATAATTATTAGAAGATCGAGCAATTCTACGTCTCCTCTAAAAACATCAGTTTGTCTTCTGTTTATCACATCATATATATCATATATGATAAATGTTTTATATCAGTATTGGGACCATAAATCTTGTCACATAATCAAATTTATATTTAGGATTTTATAGTAATTGATTGTGGGAAGAAGTGAAGTGCTAATGCAGAAACTGTTATTGAGAATTGAACTTGAAAAGTCTTTAGTACGCAAACATCTTTAAAATTAGAAAAACTGTCAAATATTTCTTTAATAAATATGTTTGAGCTTTTTTTTTGAGTTACGTGTGAAATTGTTATCAAATTTTGAAATAAATGAAATATAAATTTTATTTAGAGTTTTATAGTTATTGTTATCGTTATTGTTTGTAAGAAGAAGTGAAGCAGAAAATTTGAAATTTTTGAATGTGAAAGTATCTTTAAAGCAAAAAAATTATATTAAACCCTTCGTCAGTTAATATCGAAGTGAATTGTGAATTATGTATAAAGTGATTTTTCTGGGTTACCTGTTGTGTGTCGGACTTATTGTTCTGCAAGCGGAGGGTGAGTTGTTTGTACATAAATCATCTTTTACACTTTATTTATTAAATTTTAATTACGGTCGTTAAAACTTATTTGTCAGATCCTCTTTGTTTTCATTTCTCTTGGATCAAAGAGGTAAGGAATAAATCTATAACCTGCTCAACTACTCCAATATATGATATGTATTGCGATGGCCCATTAATAGTGACAGGTATGTAAATCATTCGATCATTCGTGATCATTCGAATTTTTTCATAGTCTATGAGAATTTATGAATAAAATAAAAAGTTATATATTTTATATGTTTTATTTATTATTTATATAAATCAATTATTTATAATTCACGACACACATTTTTGAAGTTTGTTTTTTAAATTTTAAAAGACTTTTTACAAATAAATTTTTCATCTCAACAAATGTTACTAGTCTAGTCTGTTACTAGACGTTTAATAATCCTATCAACAGTATATAGGATCGTGTGCGAGTTAGGCTAAGTTGATGCTAAACCAAATGGGAGATTTTTTGGGATTTTTTGCACTGCACACATTTAGCTATTTATCAACTCGCACACGTCCTTAGTTTGATTTAAATTTAATTTGATTACATATTAAAAATATATTTTATATTCGAATTCCATATATTTTAGACAATGGTAAACCACCAAACACAAAAAAATTGTGGGAATCTTATAAAAATAATCCTAAAGAAATTACATGTCCCATGGAGCGTGGTATGGTTTGTGTTAAGAGCATATTGTCTGAAAATAAGAAAGGTAAATTTAAATTAATTTCATTAAAATTATTTATTTTTAGTTATTTACTAAGGTTTCCAAATAAAAAAATGGTAATCTGCTATATCTGATGTGTACACGCCAACCACAGTCTTGCTAATTAAGTTCGATTAGTGTTCATTCAGCTTAATTACTTCTCTGACTGCCACTTAAAAAATATTTTTTAATAGATTATTACCTACTATACTTAAGACATATCCGAACCATATATTAATTCAGTGAACAATATCAATGTAGTAATAAATCTTGTTCAGCTTTTGGTTCAAGTATATGCGGTAGACATCACCAACTCATATAGGATCAAAGATCTTACTTTACTAGAATGCTTCTTAATTTGTAATAACATGTATACTTTTTCCTCATATAGAAGTTATGATGAGCGACATATGAAGTGCGGGTTTTGTGGATCGAGAGAGAGAGAGTACACCTTATTTGGCCATAGTTGCACCTATTTGCAGTAGTGGTTCGTAGACATCTCTTCAAACTAACATCGTGGCTGATCGACTGACTTCCATTTTGTCTGTAACCGACATATACTAGCATCAATCTGTTATATCACACTTGATACACTCAATATGTTGGTGTCGTTAGCATAGGCAGGAAGCTGGAAACACTTGTAAAATATTGTGTTATTTCAATGAACACCTGTTCCGACCATGACAAAATTGAAGAGATAAATAATCTCAGGATAAACAATCATCTTTTGCGATTTGAAGCTACTTTAACGGATCTACAAGCATTGTTTAACCTTATTTTGCAAAGACGTGTTAGCTTTGGCGGGATATTGTGTTGAGACTTTGTCCTGCATACGCGATACAGTAAAAAGTTGTTGGGTGTTAATTCCATGTTCGGAAGTTTTTTCTTAAATTTTTTGCATTATGAATATCTGAGCCTTGTATACGACAGATATTAGGCTGATATTATATAGTTAGCACATCCAAATCTGAATTATTTAATATGTCTTTTTGATAAATTTCTTATAAATTACTTAGTAATTTATAGAAGAATGGAAGTAAAATAGTGGATATAGTGGAAATAGTGGTGGATACTTGGACGATGAAATCTATGAAAATTCTTTTCCTATCGGAAGTATAACGACGTTCTTGGTAAAATAATCTGATTTGCTAATTATATAGAAAAAATTGTATATAACACAATGGCGTTTTTTGCAACAGTCAAGCTGCACTAAAGGTTCTTGTTAATCCTGCCATCTTTTCAGAGATGATCACTGAATATAAGATAAAAATAAACTGTGTTGAGAACATAATAAACTACTTTTTATATGGGTTACGGGACACTACAGTGGCATAGGGAATAAATTGACTGATTATATGGCCAATTAACGGTTTGCTAGGAGTACATTGTGTGGTCAATGAGTTTCTGAGCTACGTTTACAAGAGAAGATGGACCAAAATGTACTCCTGTAAAGTAACGTAATATTATGTGAAAGAACATGACAGGAAATTATCAAAATTTCTCTCACAACAAAAGAGAAAGGACTCCAAGGTACGGATCGGTGAAATCAAGTGACATAAAACTAGTTGACAAGACATGGCTATGATTTGAATTATCACACAACCGATATAACAGTGCAGTCTTAAAGATTCGGACTACTTGGAGTATATTTTCTGTTATTTTTTAGCATTTGAAACAACCACACTACGACTGTTGGATTATGATGTGTACATAATGTCCATGCTCTTCTCTTACCTGATCTCTTCAGACTTATTAGGGAAACTAATCTTTGTTTGTCCTCTTGTCTTCACTTTTCCACCTCTTTGTTTTACCTTTTTATTTCCGACTTTGGGTATTGTGATCTGCCGACTGAGAACGCTTGTCTCGTCCTAACATTTATCAACAGAAAAAAAGTGTTTTTTCAAAAAATTATGAAAATATATTTATAAGCAATGTATCTAATTTATTTCTCATACTAACTATTTTATTTTATGCTACAGTTGGAATAATAGGATACGGCTGTAATCGTAGAGATATCCGAGAAGAGATTTATGAAAGTACGGAATGCGTTGATATCAGAACATTTACAGGCTTAGATGTGAAAGTTTGTTCTTGTCAATCCGATGAGGGCGCGATGCCTTGCAATTATGCATTCTCCATGCATGGGACTAGTGAGTGTAAATGGAATCCCACATTAATATGTCTGATCATAATCAAAATACTTTGCCGGATTTTCTTCATAATCTGACAGATTAGAAGTTAATGCAAATGAAGAACTCAATTTAAATTTTTGTGCGAGTGTTAAGTAATATCGAATATTTTATTTATTTAATAGAACTTTTTAAACTATTTGACTATAACATAAATTTTAATAAATAGTCGGATATTGTTAACAACAAAACAAATCTGTTGAATTATTATCACATAAATAAATTAAATTTTTTAAAAGGCTTTTGTTCGCCATTTTTGTTGTAGTTATTGTGAGTTCACTGTGCTGCCATTAGTTGCTGTTTGTTTTGAATTTATAGCAATCACCCGCCAATCTTAAATCAACTGATTAACGAAACCGCAATAAATAATAGCGGAACTATGCTCCTTCTAGGAGTTAAAGGACTGAATATATATATAAATAAAATGTGAAGTATCAGACTCCATTTCAGTAGTTAAGTCCAATTCTTTTTCGTGTCGATTTAACGCAGTTATAACCAAAAACATAGACATAGACAAAACATTTTTCTATGTTTTTCGTATAATATTGTTAACTTAATTTTCTTAACATAACTTATTAAACATAAACTGATTTCCATCGTGTACTATTTATACACGATGAATGTATATTTTATATTACCTGAACTGAACGCAGAAAAAACAAATGCATTGTTACTTTTGATGTGTGAGTTTTTGAATTTTTAATTTTTAAATCTAAAAATTTCATATAATATTTTAATTATAAACAAATTAAGTTTTGCAAAATAAATCATTTACAGCACTACTTTGGTGTTGTTATGAGGTTAGTGCCTTTAAAACTGTTTAACCAAACTGTGCTACCGTCATGCCGCTAACTATTATAAACCAGCTGTTCAGAAGAATTGCGGCCACAATTATTTGATTAATTTTCCTGGTTGATATTTAATTATTTTAATACATAAATAATACATATATTACATAGATTTGTATAAAAATGCCAACTATAAAAACGAAACTTAATATTGATATAGATTTCGTAAGTACGCTAATTTAATTTTCCAGAATAAATGCATTAATTTGTGTTTGCATTGCAGCCAGAAGAGGATGTGCCGTATGAGGAAGAGATACTGCGTAATGCTTATTCCGTAAAACATTGGTTGCGTTATATTGACCACAAAGCTAAGGCACCCAACAATGGTGTTAATATAGTGTATGAACGTGCATTGAAGGAATTGCCTGGCAGTTACAAAATTTGGTACAATTACTTGCGCACTAGGAGGAAACAGGTACGTGGACGTCCATTGAACGACCCTATGTATGAAGAAGTCAATAATACGTTTGAACGTGCGTTGGTTTTTATGCATAAAATGCCACGCATTTGGATGGATTATGGTACTTTTATGACTTTGCAATGTCGAATAACACGTACCAGATACGTTTTTGATCGCGCCTTACGTGCGCTACCCATAACGCAGCATCATCGTATCTGGCCACTGTATCTGAAGTTTGTACGTCAGTTTGACATACCCGAAACTGCGGTGCGAGTTTATAGGCGATACTTAAAATTATGCCCAGATGAAGCTGAGGAATATATTGAATATTTATCTGAAGTGGGCAAATTAGATGATGCGGCTCAGCAGTTAGCTACGATTGTAGATAATGAAAATTTTGCTTCAAAATTTGGTAAATCAAATCATCAACTTTGGAATGAGTTGTGTGAGCTTATATCTAAGAATCCGCATAAAGTGCATTCACTGAATGTGGATGCTATTATTAGAGGTGGCTTGAGAAGGTATATAACGAGTGATACAAATGTTTTATATATTTAATTGTTATTCGCTTTTAGGTATACGGATCAATTGGGTCATTTATGGAACTCTTTGGCGGATTACTACGTACGTTCCGGTTTGTTTGATCGTGCACGTGATATATATGAAGAAGCCATACAAACGGTTAAAACAGTACGAGACTTCACACAAGTATTCGATGAATACGCACAGTTCGAGGAAGTTTCATTAAGCAAACGTATGGAAACTGTTGCGAATGATCCAACCTCTACAGAGGAGGATGATATTGATGTTGAACTGCGCTTGGCACGCTTTGAATATCTAATGGAACGACGTTTGTTGTTACTAAATAGCGTGTTGCTGCGTCAGAATCCACACAACGTTCACGAATGGCACAAGCGTGTTAAGTTGTACGAAGACAAGCCGTTGGAAATCATCAACACTTACACAGAAGCTGTGCAGACTGTCCAACCAAAATTGGCCGTTGGTAAACTGCATACATTGTGGGTCGAATTCGCCAAGTTCTACGAGGGTAATGATCAAATTGACGATGCGCGCGTCATTTTTGAAAAAGGCACCGAAGTTGAGTACATCAAAGTGGATGAATTGGCGTCTGTCTGGTGTGAATGGGCAGAAATGGAAATAAGGTTTGAAAATATACAAAAAAAAAAAAAATAAAAGCAATGCTTAAAATGTTTTTTCATATAGGCAAGAAAATTTTGAAAACGCACTGAAGTTAATGCAAAAGGCAACGGCGATGCCAAAGCGTAAGGTGGCATATCACGATGACACAGAGACGGTACAAATGCGTCTTTACAAATCGCTAAAAGTTTGGTCGATGTATGCAGATTTGGAAGAATCATTTGGCACTTTCAAAACCTGCAAAGCCGTGTACGATCGGATAATCGATTTAAAAATTTGTACTCCACAAATCATTATAAATTTTGGACTCTTTCTTGAGGAGCACAATTACTTTGAGGAAGCATTTCGCGCTTATGAAAAAGGCATTGCTCTATTCAAGTGGCCAAATGTCTTTGATATTTGGAACTCTTATTTGACAAAATTTTTAAAACGTTATGGCGGCACTAAACTGGAACGCGCACGTGATCTTTTCGAGCAGT